GACAGAATCCTGTATTTCAAGAGTGTGGCGTGACTTTTAAAGATACTAACTACATTAGCTACTTTTCAATTTCTGTGATGAAATACTATGACCAAAATCAATTTTTAAAAAAGGTTTTATTTTAGTTTACGGGTCCAGAAAGAGAGAGAGATGGGGAGGGAGAGCGGGGAGAAAAGAGAAAGTGAGTTTATAATGGGCCAGAAAGAAGGGCATGGTTGACACGCTACCACGACACAGGGCATGGTTGACACGCTACCACGACACAGGGCATGGTTGACATGCTACCACGACACAGGGCATGGTTGACATGCTACCACGACACAGGGCATGGTTGACATGCTACCATGAGACACAGGGCATGGTTGACACGCTACCACGACACAGGGCATGGTTGACATGCTACCATGAGACACAGGGCATGGTTGACACGCTACCATGAGACACAGGGCATGGTTGACACGCTACCATGACACAGGGACGCTTCAAAATTCCCTAGACCCCACCCCTCTCTGAGGATTTACAGGCAGTCAATGGTTGCTATGGAGAAAGGGCTCCCAAGGCCCCGCCCCTCCATGAAGAACTGTTGACAGTTAATGGATACTGGGGAGCTCTTCAGTGGTGCAGCCATAAGTCAAATGTTCCAATAACTGACCCTTCATCCATGCTCACAAAAGCAATCTTAGTTAAACTCTAGGTCACACGTAGGAGGTAGAAAGACAACTTTATATACATGCATGAAAATGTCACCAAGAAACCCTTATGCATCTATAATTAACATATGTTAATGAAAGCAAATTATGAAATACTAGGATTCTTTTCCTTTGAGGAGTCTTAAACTTCTGGATCCCTTAATTTCTCTGTTCACACTTCCGATTTTAGCTTTCTTGTTTATGTTTCCCCCACCTACTCACTCATCCATTTAGTCAACTGCCATCCACTTACACACTGCCAACCCAGTGCCCTCAGACACTGAGGAAAGAGCTAAGTGAGATATTGCTCCAGCCTCCTAGGAATTCGCAGTCACTGGGGGAGCAGACAAATACATCAGTAAATACAGAGTGATAAACAAAGATGTGTTAAAACCCCTGTTAGGGCTGGGCTGCAGCTGGGGCTCAGTTGTTTCAGGTGCTTGTCTGGCATTCATGAAGTCCCCTGTTTGATCCCTGGAACCGCAGAATACCAGGGTGGCACGCGGTTCAGAAATTCAAGGTCACGTTTTGCTGCACAGCAAGTTCAAGGCCAGCCTGAGCTATGTGAGATCCTGTTCCAGAGTGGGGGTAAAAGGTCTGTGCGTGTGTATGTGGGAGATTATTAGAACTGTTTTGTGTGTCCTTGGAGACGGGGACTAGTGTCCACTACAGTCCTACAGACTAAGCAGGTAAAGCTCAAATTCTTGCTTGTTCCTGGAAGTGAGGTGAATGAACCTCACTTCCTATTGGCAAGTCAGAGATGCCATTCAAATTTTCTTTAAGAATATTTATCAGCCAGGCGGTGGTGGCGCTCGCCTTTAATCCCAGCACTCGGGAGGCAGAGACAGGCGGATCTCTGTGAGTTCGAGGCCAGCCTGGTCTACAGAGCTAGTTCCAGGACAAGAACCAAAAGCTACGGAGAAACCCTGTCTCGAAAAATCCAAAAGAAAAAAAAAAAAGAAAAGAAAAGAATATCATTCTCGGCACTTCCCTTTTTACATGGGCATCCTGCTTACGTTTTTTAATAGTAGACTTACTGAAAACATTGTGTTTTAAAAAGTTCTCTTAAGTTACCTCCATTATTTCTGTTCCAGTTCAAACATTTCTCTGACTTTTGAGCAGGGGTTTTTCTCACTGCTTCTTGTTCTTAGCAGTGCAGCTCTTGACTGTCACTATTAGGAGCACTGGGCTCCATTGGTTGGTTTTGTGCACCACTGCTCATCAGGCTGGCAAAGGAGGGCTTTCTGGGCTACAGGTTGTGGTTGGTGTCAGAGTGTTAACTTAGTGCGTGTGAAACTTCTGGATTTCATCTCCAGCAAAGTCCAAAAAAGGGAAGAGGACGAGAAAGAAGGGTAAATAGGAGGAGTGAGAGAGGAAGAAGAACAGGAGGAAGAGGAAGAGCAATCCCTCAGCTGAAGGTTCCTAGGTTCCCATCAACAGAGCAAATGGTGTAATGGCTTGCTATCGCTACAGTGGATGGTGGTGGAGCACATCTTTAATCCCAGCACTTGGGAGGCAGAGGCAAGTGGATCTTTATGAGTTTGGGGGCCAGCCTGGTCTACAGAGCAAGTTTCAGGACAGCCAGGGCTACGCAGAGAAATCCTATCTCAAAAACCAACCAACCGACCGACCAACCAAATAAACAAACCATGGCAGCTTTTCACCTGGAGCTCAGAAGCCTGAACTGGGTGTCACGGTGAGGTGCCAGCAAGACTCTAAGGGACTCTTTCCCTGACTTCCACGACTTCCAGAAACCCTTCACATTTTTAGGTTTATGGTTCTTTCTTCCATCTTCAGAGCTAGCTGCGAAACACCTGAAGTGTTTCTTTCCTTCCCACCCCGACACTCCCTCTTCCACACTAATGCCCAAAGTGGCTGGGCTCCCTTAAAGAGATGTAGTAATTTTGTGTCAAATGATTAGTGACCTCACTTTTATCTGCAACCTTAATTCTCTCTACCCAAGCTATAGAACGTTTTCATAGGTTTGGGGATTAGGATGTGAATCACCGGGGAGCCATTATTCTGCTCCCCTGCAAATGGCTAAGCATCTCCTGGGGCAGCCATGCAGACGATTTTTCTCTGCACAGAAGAGTCTGAGATCCTAGAGGGTCCTCTCTCAGAGTCAACCGCGTTCAAGATCTCCTCCCTCTGACTAAGACACACCGAGCAGGCAGGGAAGGGGCCACAGGGGATTTCTTTTCCATCTTGTCTGTTGCAAGGGTGTGGGCAGTGCCGGGTTGCTTCTCCCGCTTCCCTGCTGTATACAGAGAATGCAGGACGGGGCCAAGCTGGAGTTCCCTTCTCCCCTTCTCCAGCTTTCTCCCTCCTCTGGAATGCAAGGCCCAGGCCTGACAGTGCTTCCCATAGGTTCTCTTTCTGTGCGTTCAGTCATTTCAGCAGAAACTGTGAGACTGAGTTAGCTTTGTGCTAGGCCAGCCTCTGGGTCTGGTAGGTACCTTATCTGCCTCAACCAGCTTCCAGCAGGTTTAAAATACACTTCTAACTTAGTCTTCCTTCCATAGATATTTAAATGCAGCTTTTTAAAGAACACATGTGCTGAGTGGACGGCAGCTAGATGCCTGGGCTTTTCTGCGACATTAGGGAGACTGAGCTGAGCTCTGGAACCCACATTTCAAAAACCCTTCCCCTGTTATTCTGACCCACAGCCACAACGCAGGGCTTAAAGGGAGCCGCGACGGCTCGCGGCATCTATGTTAGGAAATGAAGGGCAAGCCAGGAAACATGTCTCACTGCAAGAACGACTCCAGAATAAAGAATTGGAATGCCGAGCACCCCACTAGCAGAAGGCAGGCTCTGGAGAAACAGGTGCCAGGCCTAGTAACGCCGCTGTGACCCAGTCACCTCCTGAGTCAGGAGGGTCCTAAGCTTGAGACCTGCTTCATGAGTTCCGAGTCTAGCCCTGGCAATTTTTCAAGTTCCTGTCTCGGAATAAAAATTAAAAAAAGGTTTGGGAATACAGTTTAGTGGTGGAATATTTGGCTAGCATGTTTAGTTTAAAGCCTCAATAGGTTGGGGGCGGGGCGGGAATCATCTAGAACTAACCCCTTCCCAAGATCTGGCAAAAGTGTGTGCTTTTCTGCTAAAAGTACAGGAAGCTGGGTATTCGGTAACACCCTCTCCCATCTGCAGAATTTTACAGGTTACCTGGACTGGTGTAGGAGGCTGGAATTCAAGCAGAGCCCACAGTTACCACAAGCAAGGCATTTCAGGGACGTTAACGTTTTAACCTTTAGCTTCCGCCTTTCCCTGCACCCCAGCTATTTGTCTCCCTCCCTCCCTCTTTCTCTCCCCCATTTCTCCCTCTCTCTCCCCCATCTCTCCCTCTCTCTTCCCTCCCTCTCTCTCCCATCCCTCCCCCCCCC